TGCACAAAAACAGTCGTTACATCGCAGCAGTGCCCAGGGAGGCAGGTGCCAGGCGTCCCCCTGCAGGGCAGAGGAAAGGGGGCGGGCCTTTCTCTTCGCCAGAGGAGGTGAGCTTACCTAGACTGAGAAGACTGGTCCCTGGTTGCTCAGGGAAAGGCTTTTCCTTAACAACAAAGCGTAAGTTATCCTCCACAACTTGGAAGATGCCAGACGTTGTGCAACGTGCTTAAGCACATCATCTCACTTCACACTCGCCCTGGGGTGTGGCCTCCACTGTGCCCCCGTTCACCGGCGAGGATGAGGGGGTGAAGGGATGAAGCTGGGGCATGTGAAGCCAGGATCGGAATCAGGTGGTCTTAGCCCCGCCCTTTGGTTTTCTTCATCAATTGTCTTAATGATAAAGGTGGCATGTCCCCATGGTGACCAGAACATGATGGGGCGCTGATGGGAAGAAAGGATCGGTTAGCTCCTCGCCCCTCTCTGTTCCCAGCTGGTCCGACGTGACTGATGTTAAAAGCTTGGACCTGGGTCCTGCTGTGATCTCCACGCGTTTCACACACAGACAAACACACGCCCACACGTGTGTCCACACACGCAGGGGTGGTTTTTTTGTTTTCTCTTCTTCCCAATAATGAAAACATGGTTTTTCTATAACTTTCTTCCCCCACATGCCATTACGGGGACAGCCCTCTAGGGCTGTGCCCACACCTCTGGTGAGCCTGGCGGAGGTGTGTGCAGCATGGACGCTGAGCCCATCCACCAGGCGCTCAGGCCGTGTCAGAAGCAAAGGCACTAGAGGACTCGTTTCTGCCCTTTGCCCACTTCTGGTCACGTGGTTTCCCCTGGTCAGGTGGTCATCCTGACTATTCCCTAGAACAGTGGTTGGCACACCGCGGCTCGCGAGCCACATGCGGCTCTCTGGCCCCCTGAGTGTGGCTCTTTCACAAAATACCACGTGCGGGCGCGCACGTACAGTGCGAAGTCGACTTAAAACTTTAAGTAAAGTTTATTAAGTTAATTTTAGGGAACGTTGTGGAGTGAAAGAAGATGTAGTGTCGGGGATTGAGAAAGGCATGTTGAGATGGTTTGGACATAGAGAGAGGATGAACGAAAGGAGACAGATGAAACAAGTCTACAAGACGAGTGTGGCTGGGAGAGTTGGAAGGGGTCGACCTCAGAGAACGTACCTCCATCAGATTGAGGACGTTTTTAGCAAAGGCCAGCTTAGGAGCACCCTCATTAAGTTAATAACAACGTACCCTACCTATGTAGTTTCAGTTTAAAAAATGTGGCTCTCAAAAGAAATTTCAATCGTTGTGCTGTTGATATTTGGCTCCATTGACTAATGAGTTTGCCGACCACGGCCCTAGAAGGTCCCCTGGTTTAAGACAGGGCTGGGGGGCCCTGGCTGATAGCTAAATGGTTAGAGCGTTACGGGTTCCATTCCGGTCAAGGCCAGGTACTGGGTTGCAGGCTCGATCCCCAGTCTCTTGCGTTGGGGAGACAACTAATCGATGTGTCTCTCTCATATCAATGTTTCTCTCTCTCTCTCTCCCCTCCACCCTCCACCTCCCTTCCACTGTCTCTGAAAATCAATGGAAAAAATATCCTCGGGTGAGGATTAACAAAGAAAAAAAAGAAGCCGAAACCGGTTTGGCTCAGTGGATAGAGCGTCGGCTTGCGGACTGAAAGGTCCCAGGTTCGATTCCGGTCAAGGGCATGTACCTGGGTTGCGGGCACATCCCCCAGTGGGAGATGTGCAGGAGGCAGCTGATCGATGTTCCTCTCTCATCGATGTTTCTAACTCTCTATCTCTCTCCCTTCCTCTCTGTGAAAAATCAATAAAATATATTAAAAAAAAAAAAAAAGAAAAGAAAAGAAAAAAAAGAAGAAGAGGCTGGTGGAAAGGGTCCCCGTCTCGCTGTCACTTCTGCGGAAGGTCTGGTGGCGATGTCCGTGTAGGACATAAAAAAAATGACGCTGAGCGCCCCGGGGTGCCCCGCACCCCGACATCCTGCCTCCCCTCCCCCAGACAGCTCTTCCTCGACATCTCCACCCAGAGGCCATTCTCCTCCCTCAGAATGAATGGCTTCTCTCTGCTTTCGTCCCGCATCGCGCTGCCCACGGGCTGGCTCCCTTAGTGCTGTGCTTCCCATGTATTGACGCGGTGGAATCCGCGATGCACACGCTCATTTGCATGGCAGTCCCCCCGGGCCAGACCGCTCTGCACCCACTGCCTGGTAATTGCTGATGATAAATACCCGCTGAGTGAGGGCCTAGGCGGGGCTCTTCGGCACCGGAAGGCTTGCTAAACCCTTGCCCTTCTCATTCTAGAACATTCTCTGCTGTTAGTGTCTCTCCTCTCAAGTAATCATCTTTGCCTAATCGCTCCCTGTACTCCAGACACGATTCCTACCCCCCCTACCCCTGGCTTAAAGGAAAGAAAAGGAGTGGGTAGCTGTTCCTGTTAACTTAAGATGCCTCTCAGTTGCCAGCCAGTTGTGGGAGAATTGTGTCCCTTTCAAAACCTGGCACGATTTGAGAGAGCGCTTTTATTCTCACCCCCTCCCTGAGTGGGCTGGTAGGTGGTTCAGCAACTTAACCAGGGAGCGGGGAAAGGCGTTTGAAATTCAAGTGTGTCTGAAGTTGCATGAAAACGAGGATCAAAGACAGGCTGGGAGGTGTGGCCAGGGCAGGGCCAGAACCCCAGGTTTGGTCCTGAAAGGAACCAGTCGCTTCCCCGGAGAGTCCTGGAGACCCCAGGAAGGCCAGAGACAGGTCGGAGGAGCTGGTGAGGGTGAGGCACAGAGGTGGCCGGGCCGGGGCCAGGCAGGAGGTGGTGGGAACTGGAGGCTGTGGGTTCCCAAGACAGAAGGAGCCGACCTCCATCCCAGGAAGATGCCAAAGCCCAACCCTTCAGGAATAGAGACCGCAAGCCACAGGGGCTCGGGGAGCATTGTGGGGGCTCTTCCACGTATGTGGTCATGGCTGGGGGAGCTCTGACCTGCCAGTGCTGCCTGTCCAGTCTAGAGCAGCTGTCAGCGACAATGCGCCCTGCGCACAGGACCACCCCCGCCCTGCAGGGGGCGAAGGTGAGGGCTGGGACCAGAGTCTTCCAAAGGAAAGGGTCTTCGGGTGCTCCTCAAACCTGTGTCACGTGACTCTCAGCTCCACTGTTTAACAAAACCACCTGGGATGCGTCTAAAAAATGCAGCTTGCTGGTCCAGAGAGGCCAGCTCAGTGGACTGGGGTGGAACCCGGAAACCTGCACGTTAAACCAAGGCCCAGGGCGGTTCTGACTCAGGTGGCCCCGGAACCCTGCTTTGGGAACCAGCGCCGAGCACCCACTTCTTAAACTGGAGTGTGCGTCTGCATCACCCGGGGGGCTTGCGAAAAATGCAGGTTCTGGTCCAGCAAGTCTGGGGGTGGGAGCCCAGGGGCTGCCCGGCTGGCAAGCTCCAGGTGACGCAGGTGAGGCTGGCCCGTGGCTCACCGAGAACCGCTCACAGAAGCTGACCCCAGGCTCCGAGCTCAGGCCCACTGAACCGGAAGCTCCGGGGCCAGGGCCCAGCCTCTGTTTTAGCCAGACCTCCGTGATCCGGGAGTCTGAGAGCCACCGCTAAGCCACGGAGGAGCTTAAAGACACGGGCTGTCCTCTCTGTGCTGCCTGTCCCCGTGCAGAGGTAGAAGGAGTCCATGTTGGAGCCAGGAAAGCAGAGGCGACTGCCCCTGGGTGGGTGACTGTGCCCTGCATGGGCGGCTGAAGGAGAGGGTGCGAGAAGCCAGGGGGCCCCGAGGGGTTGGGAACAGCCCTCTGTGGCCCCTGCCCTGCCTGGTCCTCAGTGACCACCGGCCTTCCCAGGACAGAGGAACCCCTCTGACTTCAGGCCGCGGTCCCCAGGCAGGCATTCCTTCTCTTGCCCCCTGTCCCCCTGCACTCCTGGGGCCCCGGAGCGAGCCCTGGGGAACATGACCTGTGACAGTTCCTCCCGGTCTGGCCCAGTCCCCAGGGATCAGCCTCGAGGGCCTGATCTTGACCGTGACCAGGTCAGGGCGGTACCTGGCGGCGGTGTTTAGGGGAGCGGCTGGCAGGGCAGAGCTGAGAGCCGCCGCCTCCGTTCCCGGGGCATATACGACCGGCTCGAGACAGATGAATGTCACGGTGACTTTAAATTACACTCTGCACTCGGTGACTCTGTGCTCCGTTGCTTAGATGTAGAGCCGTCTGCTCAGCCCCTAACGGTATTTGCTAAGCACTGGTGTGAAAGCAGGTGGTCACACAAGTTAACCCACCAGCACCAGCCAGCAGGCAACGCTCGCGTGAGCCCAACCCCCAGTCCTGGCTGTTGGGGTCCCCAGCACGAAGGGGTCCAAGGCCTTCGGGGAAGTCTGGTCCGCCCTCCCCACCGGGTCTGACTGCTGGGGGGCAGGGGGGCTGTGCTCAGAGCCATTAGCAAGGAAGTGTCCTCAGAGTCAGGGTTCCTGACAGCGCTTGGGATGCTGTGCTCACACTCGCCCAACTTAGCGAAATCCCAGCTTCCCAAGTGCATGCGCCATCCTCCCCGCCCCCCCTCGTGAATCGTGGGCTTGATGATTCATTTGGGGACAAAGGGAGAACCGACCTCCAGGACCGGCATTTATGAGAAAGTCCCTGCTCGCCCAGATGGCTCCTCTGTCTGAGTGTCCGTTAGCGTGGGTTGCGGATTCCAATGGAAGAGCCATTACCCTTTCCTTCTCCCCACTCCTGGGCACCAGGCAGGTACACCTTAGGGCAGGCACTGGGATTGGATCAGTGTCTTTGCAGACAGGGCCTCTGTGGTTGGAGAAGCAGCCCGAGGTCTTCCTTCCTCCTGGGGCAGCTGGGAGCTTGATTTAATGGGGACTGTGGGCGGGGTGGGCGGAGGCCAGAGGGGACCGGGCGGAGAATTAGGCAGGCGGATTTGGTTCTGGGGGTGACTGTCCCTCCTCTAACTCAGCCTGTGCCCCTGCTCCCCCTCCAGCTGGTGCTGCCGGAGTACTCCATCCACAGCCTCTTCTGCATCATGTTCCTCTGTGCGCAGGAGTGGCTCACGCTGGGGCTGAATGCCCCGCTGCTGTTCTATCACTTCTGGAGGTAAGGCTGCGGGGCCCGGGCTGCCTGTCCCCGTTTCTGTGCGGGTGGCCGCCCCAGAGACGACGACCCCCCCAGCCCCCTGACGGCCACCAGCGAGAGGCTTTCTCTCACTCCTCCCCTGGGAGAACCTGCTTCCCCGCTTCTTAGGCAGCAAGTCCCGGAAGGAAGGCTCTGTGCAGGCCCCACTGCCCGCAGCCTCACCCGGGGGTCAGTGTGAGAAGCAGCAGCAGCACAACTCAGAATAGGAGCTGGAGTGGGAGAGGCAGCCACTGTCTGTGCACTTAGAACGTGACTTTGGCATAAAGAAGAGCAGGAGGGACCTATCTGACTTTTTCTTGAATCCTTGACAGGGTCTGGCCTGGCCTGGCAATTTGTAAGCGCTCAGTAAAGGAAAGAAAAAGGAAGTAGGAGGAAGGGATTCTTAAAAATGAGAGTCCCACCCGGCAGGTGGCCACTGTGGCTCAGGTTGAGCATCGACCTATGAACCAGGAAATCACAATTCAATTCCCATTCAAGGGCACATGCCCAGGAAGTGGGTTCGATCCCCAGTACGGGGCGTGCAGGAAGCAGCTGATCAATGATTCTCCCTCATCATGGATGTTTCTATCTCTCTCTCCATCTCCCTTCCTCTCTGAAACCAATAAAAATTAAAAAAAGAGGGCCTGGGTAGAGGTCAGTATTTAGGCCGCGTGATGGCTGACTGAGGCAGGACTGTGGTCCAGTGGCTTCGAGCAGTGAGCACGGCTCTGTCCACCTTGCACCTGCTCTGATACCTGTGGCTACGCACCGCAGGCCCCTCCTCCAGCCCTGGAGAAGTGGGCCCTGCCAGGTGCCGCCCAGGTCCCACAGGTGACTCGGCCTTCCTCCTGCTGGAGCAGCTTTGCCAGTGGGTGAGGTCACCAGGGCATCTGCAGATCTGAGAACTGGGAGAGCCGCCATCTGCGAGGAGAGAGCGCCTGAGCCGCTGTTAGTTTCAGGCCGGGATCTGAGCCGAAGGCAGATAACCGCCTGGCAGGGCTTCCTGGGGGCAGTCACCTCGACTTAAAATGTCGCTTCTCAGCCTCAGAACCAGCAACGCCGTGTCCTCTTCCCCCGCAGGTACTTCCACTGCCCAGCGGACAGCTCCGAGCTGGCCTACGACCCGCCGGTGGTCATGAATGCAGACACCTTGAGCTACTGTCAGAAGGAGGCCTGGTGTAAGCTGGCCTTCTACCTCCTCTCCTTCTTCTACTACCTGTACTGGTGAGCCTCGCCCCTCCTGGAGGGTCTGACTCCTGCAGGGTGTGGCGGGGTGGAGGTGGGGGGGTGTTCCAGGCCGGCCTCCTGGGCTTGGGGAGGTAGCCCATGAGCCTGTGGGATTTAATGCCACCTTCTGACTCGTATCGGGAGCCAGGGCTTCTGTTGTGTATGAAGTTAGGGGCAGCGGTCCCAACATCTATAGCAATCTTTGGCACATCTGCTCAAGAAATTTTTTTTTTTTTAAGTGTAAAGCAGGTTGACATGATCTATCCAAGATAGCACCACCCTCCTGCCCAGGTATATGGTTTACTTGATGGTAGAGACGGCATCTGTTTCATTCACCTCTGTGTCTGCAGTGTCTGGCACAGAGTAAGTGCTCACTAAACCCTGGCTCACAGTAGGTGCTCACTAACCCTTTGCTATGGCTAATGGTATAGGCTCCAGGCGAGCTGGGGCTGCACACTCCATCTTTTACCGGAGACACACTGTGTTCTCCTAACAAATGCAACAGGGATGAGAAAGTGGCAGGAGTGGCCCGGGGTCCGGCTTTGGCGGGTCCCTCTTGGGAGGGCCAGTCCTGGCCCCTGCGGGCTCCCACTAACGCCTCCTCTCCCCTTCTTTTTGCCTTCAGCATGATCTACACTTTAGTGAGCTCTTAACTCAGAGACCACGCACGTCGTCAGAGACTGGACGGGAGCGCGCCGAGGCCGAGAAGTCACTTGTGCGGGCGACTGGAGAAGGGACGGGGTGGGTGAGGAGGAGACCTGGCCGACACTGACTGCCTCGGAAGGAATGGAAGGAACGGATTGGCGGCAGCGGGAGCTGAGTTAACCACCGTGTGTTGTCACCTGTGAACCACAGCAAACATCGCTGTTTCCCGAGTCCGCTTCATCTCACAGCTCCCAGCTGGTCCGCTCTGGTTTCCTGGACCGTGGGAGTGGGGGCTGGGAGGCCCGAAGGTGCCTGCTACCGAACGGAACGACCAGAGTCAGGCTGAGTCTGTGGGACCCACAGAGGGCCTCGGCTACCCAAGGCTCTGTTTCCTCCCTGCCAGGGCCGGCCATGCCCTTGCCCTCCGCGGAGGGTCCGGAAGGTGCGCCATGGCCTTCGCCGTGGCCGGCGTGACCTGCAGGGCTGCCGTGCTCCGCCCGGCTTCGTGAGAGCCCAGTTTAGTGACACCCTGAGCTGGGTTTGGGGCAACGCGTTGCTAATAAAGTTGCCCAAAGTCACGGACGTGGGGTGGGGTGGGGTGGGTTGGGGTGGGAAGGGGGAACCAGGGAAAAATGACTTGGAGAAACATTGACTCCAGGTTCAAGGTGTTACCAGCCAAAGCCATCACAGCCCCCGAGTGCAAATCCACTGGTCGGCTCTCGTCAAAGCCGCGTCTTGCAAGGAACCCCCAGCTGTTCCAAGGCCGCTCTGAACGGTGGGCGTTCGGCAGCTCGGAAAGGAGACGACAGAGTAACAGCTTCGTTCTACGATGCCGCGTCGTTCATGCTGCTTAACCTGAGGACGCTCGCTTCTTCAGGATTTTCCACGCGACACGCTCTCCGTTTTGAGGAGGAGTTGTGGCAGGAGGTGGTCAGTAACGTAAAGGCTGAGATGCGTAGGATGCTCAGATTGGGCGCAGTGACTTTTGACCTTAATTCCCCTCACTTTCCCTCTTTCCTCCTGTTTGACACACGGGCTATTTATTGTACATGTGCCCAGCTCCCGCCGGAGCCCTGTGACTCAGGCTCAGGACCGGTGTTGGTGGGACACGCGTGTGCTATGTTGGACACGCGTGTGCTATGTTACAGCGCGGGGACAACTTGAGTATCCGGCCGACCTGGCCGTCTCATGTAGGCCTCAGCCCTGGCTGGCTGCGTCTCCATAGGGTTGGTGAACTGGTAGGTAGAGAAGGGCAGGGTTTCAGAAGGGCGTTTGGCTTCTAAAAATTCTACAGGAAACAAAAGGCAGATGTCTGCCTTCAGAGCCGGGGACGTCGAGGCGGTATTTCTGGGACCAGGCTTCCCCTCGACCGATCCCGTGGGCCCGGCTGGGTGCGTGTGGTTGGGACAGAGTTGCCTTCAGGGCTGGTTGCCCTGGTCTTTGACGTCATTCCTTGAGGAGAACTTCGTCCCGAGAAACAAGCCTTGTGTCCAGGCTGCTGGCAGCAGTTCTGTCTCCACAGCCGCCTCACAGATACAGCGGATGAGGGCGCCCGGGGTCCAGCTCATTCTCCCCGTGGAGCTGTTGGGTTTCGTTGTGAACTTGCCTCCTTCCAGGAAGATTTGAATGAGCTTGTAATAGTGGACACCAGGACACAGGGACTGCTCTAATGGGAATTCAGCTTTATAACGAAGATGAACACAGAGATACCCGTTTCCTGAGAGAGTCTATTTACCGTGACTGAGCATTAAATCCACGGTTTCTCTTAGCGGTAAATTGCAGCAATTCACAGCCACACCGCGGTTAACATTTCACTTTGCTTTCACTCCTTCTCCTTTGACCCTCCTCTCAAGCCTAAGAAGTTGATACTGTTCTTTTTCTCTAAGTGAGGCAGCTGAAGCCCAGAGAGGGCCAGTGACTCACCTATAGTCACACAGCAGTCACAAACCTGCCTCTGAAGCTACTAGTACATTGTCTGACTTTCAAAACCCCATGTCCGCCCTAGCGGGTTTGGCTCCGTGGTTAGAGCGTTGGCCTGCGGACTGAAGGGTCCTGGGGTCAATTCCAGTCAAGGGCGCGTACCTGGGTTGCAGGCTCCGTCCCCGGCCCCGATCGGGGGCGTGTGCGGGAGGCAACCAATCGATATGTCTCTCTCACATTGATGTTTTTCTCTCTCTCTCTCTCTCCTCCTCCTTTCCATTCTCTCTCGGAATCAATGGGGAAAATGTCCTCGGGTGAGGATTGACAAGAAATAAAAAACATTAAAACCTGTGTCCTTTCCATCCCGCCTGAGTGCTGGCAAAGCAGCTCAGGGTCCGATGAAAGCTTGGTTGGTAACATCAACTTTCGGAGAAGAGAGCTTCAAAATAGAGCCATTGCGGAAGCGCCTGGTTGCCGGTCCCCTGGGCGCCAGCCTCGCTCGCTGGCCTGGGGGAGGTTCTTCGCTCAGGCGGTGGGTCCTTTGAAAGCTGTAAACGCTGCCAGCACCTTATGTTTCTGAAAGAGAAACATCCAGTTTCCCTCCCGCAAGTTGCTCTGGGGGGACAACACAAAAACCCCAGGGTGTTGGTTGGGAGTTTGAGCCACTTTTCAATCCCTGGGACAGCCGACCACGAGGGTCAGAGCCCGTGAGGCGTTTGCCAGGACCTCGCCCGCCGGCACCATGATCCCACAGAGCAGCCTGTTCCTCCCCCCGCTGTATTGATCAGGGACCGGGAGGCTCAGGGCAGGTGCGTCTTCCTGGGGGACCTGCCAGACATCAGCCCAGGCCTCCGGGGACGGGGCCAGTAGTCACAGTAGCCACTCCCCGAGGTGCCAAGCGCTATCCTCTGTCCGCCCTGTGCTTCTGTCCAGCCCCAGGTGGCCTCCCTGTCGCCTTGCTGGCTGAGCAGTGCCCTGGTGCTGGTCAGGACGAACTTTAACCCCGGCCTGTTCCTGCTCACATGGCTGCTTGGCCAGCTTTGTCCCTCTGCGCTGTCAAGGGAGGAAGGAGAGGGAGGAGGAGGAGTGGCCCTCGGATGGATCTCGCAGGGATTGGTACCCCTAGTGACCCCTGGTGACCCCTGGTGACCGGGAGCTGTCCCTGCCGAGCCTGAGTCTGGGCCCCAGGACAGAGTTTCTGGGGGCACAGGCAGCACGGAGGGCGGTGTGGGTGGCCTGGTCCCTTCTCCTAGGGAGGCCGGGCTGGGGGCCGGGCCTGTTGTGCCCACAGAGTCAGTGCGGGCCCTGGGGATGGCACCGAGGCCTACTTTTCACTTGGCGAGTGGCGGGAATAGTGGCCCCTCTGCGCGGACTTGTTACACAGACGCGATGAGCTGGTGTTTGCGGAGAACTTCAAAGAGGGCCCCGCCCGCGGTTAGCCTACCAGCTCTGTAGGGGTGAGCTTCCTCGCCACCCTCCCTGTGCCCCCTGCCATCCAGGGCCAGCGCCTGGAAGGGAGGGACGACCCCTGCACCCCGCTGCCCTCCCGGCTGTGGTGTCCGGAGGGCAGGGCAGGCTGGGACCCGAGACCCCTCTCAATGCCATGTTCTCCAGCCAATGTGAGCATCTGCCCTGTGTCAGGCTGTGTGCGCAGCACATGACACGCATGTTCTCATGGGATCCCCACCACGTTTTGAAGTAGGAACTCTGCTCGCCCCCAGCTGATCGCCGAAACCCTGCAGCTTTCGGAGGTTAAACAGAGGAGCCACGGTCACAGTTATCAGTAAGTCCCGGGGCCTGGACTCCAACAAGAGTCTTTTCGACCCCAGGCCTGGACCACTTTTGTGTTCCTGGAGGGTGAGGCAGGACGGGGGGGACCGTGGGATGGGAGAAGAAGAGAAAAGGCAGCAGGCGTGGGGCGGACTCAGGAGCGTGGCTCCCTCGCCTCTCTGTTCCACAGCAAGCAGCTCCGCGGGCGCGTGTAAGCGAAGGCTTTGGGCTGCGGGATCTCGGGCAACCCTCCCGAGACTCAGCTCTCCCAGCTCTGCAAGGGGGTGATGCTGTCTCCCCTTCGCGTGTGGCTGTGAGAAAGTCACTCGTCCCGGCCGCTCAGCAAATCTCCCCTCCGGATGCCGAGTTAAAGGGAGGATCGCATAGACCAGCGGTTCTCAACCTGTGGGTCGCGGCCCCTTTGGCGGTCGAACGACCCTCTCACAGGGGTCGCCTAAGACCATCCTGCAGATCAGATATTTACATGACGATTCATCACTGTAGCAACATGACAGTGATGAAGTAGCCACGAAAATAATGTTATGGTTGGGTCACAACATGAGGAACTGTATTGAAAGGGCCAGAAGGTTGAGAACCGCTGACATAGACTAACAGTCGCACGTGGCAGCGTTCAGGGCCTCTCAGCTTCCTTCCTGTCCGCCCTCGATCCCGGGAGCAGAGTCTCAGGCAGGAGACACGGGGAACCGGGGCTGAGCCCTCCGAGAAAATCTCCCCGTTCCTTCCTATTTTTAGGCCTGGTAATGGCACCGGCGTGGAGTAAAACTGTCACCGTGACGACAGCTCTGTTCTCCCCAAGGAGAGATGCACGCCGCCAGCAAAGTGTTTTGACAACAGTTGACTGCGCTCACGCTGTGTCCTCGCACAGATCCATCCCGCAGCCCTCTCCGTTCTTGCACTCCGGCTGCTCTCCTGCCAGACGTGCTTGGGCAAATGGCATCCGATCTGGGTCTGGGGCTGCCTCTGCTCCCGAGCCTTAGGCAGAAAGCCGCCATCACGGTGTGGAGGCCTGGGGTGTGCCCTGCGACTGGTCTCAGTCCAGGCAGAGGGCACAGGGAGCCGAGCAGAGGGGCCCTACATTCCTAGGGAGAGCGAGGGACAGGCCTTAGCTTCGTGCTGGCTGGGAGCCGGGAGCGGTGTCCTTGCCGCCAGGAGCTCTGCACGTGACGGGAATATTTTGCCCGTAGAGGGGAAGGATCATATACTAACACCTTGGATGGGCATCCAGTGGCTCCCGGCGATCGGGGATAGAAACAGGATGGGCACAGCCACGAAATTGTGTCTTCCAGGCTCTGCCCCAGCCTCTGTGTGATCATTTCTGCTCCTGTTCACTTCTGCCCAGAGAGCCCTAGATGCCCCAAGTGTACCTTCCTCTTTTTAAAAAATATATTTTATTGATTTTTTACAGAGAGGAAGGGAGAGGGATAGTTAGAAACATCGATCAGCTGCCTCCTGCACACTCCCCACTGGGGATGTGCCCGCAACCAAGGTACATGCCCTTGACCGGAATTGAACCTGGGACCCTTGAGTCCACAGGCCGATGCTCTATCCACTGAGCCAAACCGGTTAGGGCAAGAGTACCTTCCTGTTCGTGAACTTGACCCCTAAGACACCACGTCATGCCCACATTTTCTCCCTCCCTGGCCAGTGGTGGACTGGTGCTGGCTCCCACAGGCTTGTGAGAGGCAATGGTTCCATTTCTAAAGGAGTTTGCTAAGCAGTTGTTAAACACAGCTATCGTTAAAGCTGGTTATGCAAGCTTACAGTTAAATAAATGATGTTAAAAACAAAGGTAATATATAGTCAACATTTATCACCTCCTAATTAGTTTTTAATATATTTTATTGATTTTTTACAGAGAGGAAGGAA